GACATTCCTGTCAAATTTCTCGACAACGGTCTTTGTTATTGTCATTGTTGCAACAAAATCCAAAGCCTCCGAAGAAGCTCTGATACCAGTTTGTTAGGTTTGGCCCCAGGAAATTGACAAAAGGATTTTGGACAACCCCAAAAGACAAATAACAAAGCAAAAATAAATAAAACAAGAACACAGGAATTTACGTGGTTCGGTCAAATTGACCTACGTCCACGGATGGAGGAGGAGCAATATTTTACTATAAAGAAAAGAGTACAAAAATGCCTCAGGAAAGTGTTCCTAGACCTAAAATATCAAATACTTAAAACACAAGAGAGTCCAAAGTATTTTACTAAACAAAAGGCTTAATGACCCAAAAGCCCAAATAGTCCACTAAATCTCTCTTGGTTTGGTGCACCGAATCCTATCATAGGTCCACTATATTTATAAGCAACTAAAAAAAAGGCTCCTTTATACAAAAGGTGATGTGGGACAAAGCCACTTTAACATATGATTGTTGAAGTACCTTGGATGGTACCACAATTTAAGCTAGGAGTTGCTTGTGATATGCTGATGAGAAAAATTTATTCTCATGCTAAACGAAGAATGGAAATTGTGATATATCATGGACAGTAGCTTCCAATATTCTGTAAAACTATTTTGAATATTTTCTAAATATTTTCTAGTACGTCCAAAAGTTTTCACTTGACCTCCTTTATGATAATTTGTGCTGTAAGAATTTATGTTGGATTTTTCTGCTCAATGTAACAAATGTTATTTTAATTTTCTTAAGTAGCAATAAGAACAGAAAGACTATAGACCAAAAGGGCTTCATTTTTAAATGCATTTACCGATCAAAACTACCATCAATGGAGCCCAACAAGAAAAGTCTACTTGTTGGTATTCTAAAAGTTGATTTAAAATGGATTTCCAAGTCAACACTCAAAAAAAAAAAATTTCCAAGTCAACTAATCATCAATCATAGACCTAGACATCAATAATCATAAAAGGCTCACTTTATGAAGGAACCTCTCTCCTTCACTTAAAATCTTCCTGTATGATAAGTGATAAGTTGTGTTTTTGCCGTTAATTCTATGATTATTTTCCTCTTTTATTATACCAAATATTATTTTAATTGATTGATTCTATTTATATTTGGTATTTGGTACTAATTGTAGGAAGGTGGAGCAAAAAGAGATAAAAGATGTGATTTCTCAAGAGTTTCCCAATTCAAAATGGAGTTTACATGGATTATTGACGGAAGATTAAGAGAAAGTCTATTTGGTTTCAAAAAGCTAAAAATTAGGAAATGATAGGATGACCGGCCCGTGTAATTAATACTCAAAGGAAGCAGCAGTTTCTGGTTTTTTGATTTCCTTTGCACGGATTTGAAGAAGTAGTAGAAGCTGAATAGGAAACCAAAAAAAGAAAAAGGGAAAGCCGGATCCCGCGGGATGAGGACTCAGCTAGGGATCTCACGTGATTATTACTTGGCCAGAGAATAAGAAGAGAAAGAGGGAGGCAGCCGCTTGGCTCTGGGGGGGCCGCAAAGGAGAATTCGGCAGAGCCTTTTGGCCTTTTGGCCAATCTTTTGTTCCCTTCAGTTTTTCTCTTATCAAACACTAAGGCGGCTATTATTTTTATTCTTGCACTTCTCAATTCTAGTCAAGGGGACAACTGAAGATATGGTTCAACAATTACTGTGAGATCTAATTTATTTTAATTGCTTCCTTCATTTATTGGTATTCATATGTTTCCTGCTTTTAACCGTTATAGCTCGTGTGGATGATTGATTAGTGTGCAATATTTAATTATTCGCATAGGCTATTTTGCTAAATAGGGGTAATTGAATCCGTAATTGTTCGTTATCTCTATCTCAGTAGCAACTGGCGTAATTGGGTTTATGTCAGGGAAACATACGATCTAACTTAAACAAACCCTCGTAGCGTGTTTGTTAGTTAGGATTGGGCCTTTCTAATTATTAATGCAATCTAGAAATTAAATCCTACGGTCGTACCTAGGATTGTTTTTGGGTTAGAGAAATAGTTAACGGTCGTACCTTAACTATCGAGAAAGTAAGGAAAAGTTGGTTGTGTATCGCGTGTATGACAACTATAACCACTCTAGTAATAAATGTTGGAATTATCTTTGAATCAATGATCAGTGCGTGAACCATTTCTGAAGTGTATCCTTGGCTAGAGTTTCTCTAAGTATTTCTTTCAATTAATTATTCTCTGCATTTAATTTCTTTAGTTAGCATTTAATCCAAGAACCCCCCATACTTTGGATTCTAGAAGAAACGAATTATCCCTAGTCCCTGTGGATTCGACCCTACTCACCGCTATATACAAAAATCTGTATTTTTCTCGAGTAGGTATTTATTATTGCACAGGTTCGGCACCTGTCAATTTTTGTATATATATTTTACGTATTTTTAGTGTATTTTATTAGTTAGTTTTGGTGTGTTTTAACTAGTTTTATAACTAATTAACTAGGATTTTGGTAAAGATATGCATTTTATAGTTTAAATGGCAAACATTGCATTTCTATGAATTTTTATGGTAAAAACTTCATGTTTTTGTAGGTTTAATGAATCAATCATCAAATGGCATGAATTGAGAAGACAATTGGATGATAATTGGTGATTGGAAGAGGTTTTAAGAATACATGAAGTGCAAAACATTCAAATGAAGAAATGCAAGTGAAGATAGTTTTGACACATTTTCGTATTTCGGCAATATCTTGCGCTAAAATGATCGGATCGAAGAGATCTTTATAATATTTTGAAGCTAAGAGATAGATATACATTTGGTATGAAAACATGAAAGTCCAATTCAGTTGATTTCCTGGTCAAAAAGTCAAAATACAGAAGCATATGTGCACGGTCGAGTGCTAGAACTGAGCTCTCACCAGGTGATGATATTTTGATTATATCTTGGTCCACAGAGCTCCAAATTAGATTATTCTTAAAGCATTGGAAAGCTAATGCATAGGGCTACAACTTTTAAGCTTTTTCCAAGAGCTAGTTCAGCCTCTATCAATGAGTGAATAGCAGTTGAATTGGAGTCAAATGCACAGAATTGAATAAACGACTTGGCAATACGCGGGTTATAGTCGTGTATTCTCAAGTCGCGTATTGTCGTCTGATTTCAACAACTTGTTCAGCCACTTGCCTTGTTTTTACACCATTTTCCAGCTATAGTTGGAGAGAAAATTTCGGCTGCACATGCTTCTGATGTAAAAAAGAAGAAGAAAGGAGCTTTATGTCTTGTCAAAAGCCCATCTTTTTTACTCTCTTAACAATTAGATGTTAAAATCATTAGAAGAAGAGAGGAGAACATATTAGAAATAGTTCATATCAGATTTTACCATTAGAATTTAGAAGTTAGTCTTGTCTTGTTCTCTCTAGCTAGCAACTTTTGTGAGAACAATTGGAGACTTCATTGTACACCATTTTGTTGAAGAAATTGAAGATCAATCGGAGTTTCTTCATTAACCTTGGCTAAGCTTTCTTTAATCTATCTTTCACTTGTGATTCATGATGTGTTTACGTAATGAAGCTATGAGCTTACTTGTTATATCCTACATGAGTAGCTAAATTTCTAGATCTAGGAAGTAGATGAAACTTATGGTTACTTGATATGAAGTGAATATGATTTACACTTGTTACATCTTGTATTAACTTGTCTACATGTGCATGCTTATCACTTGTTGTTGCTTGATCACCAACAACAAGTTCTTAGTTGTTATTATTCAATGAAAGTTGGTACTAATGATGGAACAACATGAGTAGAGCTTGATGTGTAGACTCATGAGAATAGAGGTACACTTAAGTGGATTAACTTACATTTCATGAAGGAAACAAGAGTAGATCTAGTTATTCACCATGAGAATAGGGAAAACTAGACTACATTTAGGCCATTTCATCATGAAAATGAGATTTGGTAATATTGGAAATGAATCTCTAGTTAAACAAGGGTTGTAACAAGAGGTAAATCTATTCATTTGTGTTGTTCATGTCATAAGTGGAATCTACATCCTTAGACTCAAGTATTTAGTGAATTTTCTCCATTTGTTATCTTGCAATTGTCTAGTTGAGATTTGTAGGTGGTAGTAATTATAGATTCTCTTGCTTAAATTGATTGTAGTCTAAATAATAGAGTAAGTGAGGACTTAGAATTTGAAACATCGCTCTCCGTGGGATCGATTCGATATTTGCTCAAAACTACTAAATTGATTTGTATACTTACAGTCCAAACGGGTAAAATTCGGAATTAAACTTGTACTTATATCAATAATCCGTCAAGATTTGGCGCCGTTGCTGGGGAGCGGCAATATTAGGCCCTAATTAACTTTATTAATTTAGACATTAATTGTATTTACTAGTTAATTTGCTTATAGTTAAGTTACAATTTTTATTGGTTTTTATGAATTAATTGCTAAATAATCTCTTTTATTTTTGTTTGTAGTATATGCACCTGGCTTTACGGGTAGTAGCAGCTTTTGATCCGGAAACTAAAAGGACACTACATAGACAAAAAAGGCGTACACAGCAAGAAGAAGAAGAAGAAGAAGAAGAGATTCAACCAATAGAGGAAATTGCGATAGAGCTTCCTTTTGAAGAAGAAATTGCAGAAAACGAAGCAAATAGGCGAGCTCTAAGGGATTTCGCTCTACCGGGAACTCAAGGATCCCAAACAAGTATAGCGCGATCAACGGTAAATGCTAACAATTTTGAAATTAAACCATTATTAATTCAAATGATGCAACAATCTCAATTTGGAGGTAATGCCGTAGAGGATCCAAAAGCACACTTAGCCACATTTTTTAAGATATGTGATACAATCAAAATGAATGAAGTTAGTGAAGATGAAATAAGGCTAAAGTTGTTTCCATTTTCATTGAGGGATAAGACTAAAATTTGGCTACATTCTCATGCCCCTAATACCTTCACCACTTAGGATGATTTATTTAGGACATTTTTGAATAAATACTTTTTACCGGGTAAAATGGCTAAACTTAGAATGCATATCACTAGTTTTAGTCAATTTGATGGTAAATCATTGTATGAACCTTGGAAACGGTTTAGAAAGTTGTTTCGGAGATGTCCACATCATGGACTTCCCAATTGGCTCATTGTACAAACTTTCTATAACGGTTTATCTTTCACAACTAAAACTACTGTTGATGCAGCCGCAGGTGGTGCTTTAATGGGTAAATCACCCGAAGAAACTCAAAATTTGATAGAAGAAATGGCAGCTAACAACTACCAATGGGCTAATGAAAGAGATAATCCAAGGCGACAAGCAGGTATGATTAAAACTGATGCTATCAATATGCTTAGTGCGCAAATGAATAATATGATGCAAATGTTACGTTATCAAATCGGATGTGGTCCAAGTTCTTCTTCTAATGTGCATGTTGCTTGTTGTTCTATATATGGAAGAGAATATGACTCTAACGAGTGTGTTGATGTTGAGCAGGTTCAATTTGTTAATAATTATAATAGGAATGCTCAAAATAATCCATACTCGAATACATATAATTTGGGGTGGAGGAATCATCCAAATTTCGGATGGAAGGAGCAAGGCAATCCACAAATCCCCAATAATCTGCCGGGATTCTAACCAATGCCATAACCGACGAACACTAAATCGGATTGGAAGATTGCGGTAGAAAAATTGGCAAAAGAAACTTCGGAGAGATTCGAGTGAATAGAGGGGCGGTTGGATCGATTGACCAGAATGTACAGAAATGTGGAGGTTCAAATTGGTCAAATTGCCAATTCTATTAACAACCGAAATCAAGGGAAATTTTCAAGTAAAACGGAGGTTAATCCTAAGTAACATGTCAAGACCATTACTCTTCACAGTGGTAAACAATTAGAAGACCCTTCGGTGTTAGAAAACAAGGGAAATGAGGAGTGTGACAGCCCCACCTCTCCCTAGGGCAACCCTAGGGAGAGGTGGGGCTGTCACAGTTGGTATCAGAGCTTAGGTTTCCGATCTCTGTAGTGTCTCCTAGGCTTCAAGTTTAGGATGCCGGACTGTGGGATTGGTTTGAAAGTTGAGTGACCGCTGGTAGGGATAAAAATTAGAGCCTTGGTTTGAATTGGCTTGAGTGAATTAGAAATTTTTGACTTGAGGATTATATTTGACTATTTTCCTTTAAGAGTGCTTAATTTTCCTCTACGTCTTGTGTACGATGGACGGATCTAGTGGCCCTAGCAATAGACCAGTTGGTGAGTTGTTCCGTGGGGACTTACAGATGATTAAGTATCAAATCAGGCCCGAAAACGATAGAGGCTATTAAAGCCCATCTAACCGCTACAGGCATTTCGAGTGCCATTATACTTATACCTACCCTAATGAAGTAGTTCTGGCCATAGTGAAGGAGCGGAAGGTCCTAGCGAGGGATAATACTAGGCTTGGATTTGAAATAAATTACCTGAAGAAAACTATTGAAATGCAAGCAGAGCGGATTAAGGAACTTGAGTATGATATGGTTAAGAGCCAGGAAAGTGAGGATTAGAGCAGAGTCCATTCGGAATATTTGTGATGATCTGCTGGGAGAAGTGAGTGACGAGGCTTCTTACATAGGAGGCGAGATTAGAGACGAACCCGCCCAGTTTGGGGGGGTCAACTAGTCCTACGACGGATTAAGCCTTTACTACTAGACTACTACCTTGGATGATTTTGACTATTGCACATAGAAAGGATAGGAGGGGTTGTGGCTCGGTGGTTGTACAGTTTTCTTTTGACACTTGTGCTAGGTTTTGTTTGATATGACTGTACGACTATATTTGTACTCTTGAGGCTCGCACTTGCTACTTTTGGTCCTGTTATTTTATAAATGACTGCTAGGAGCCTTTATGTACAGTGTTTTGACTGTTAACTTGGATCTTTGACTTTTGAACTTTTGACTTTTGACTTTGATCTTATTTCGGCATTGGCCTTTAACTGCTTTTCAATTTCACCCGTTTATCGTGACTTCGATTCCATTTCTTATATGACCTTTAAATATGAATAAGCATATTGTATACCCCTATTTGCTTACCTTGTCAGTTATAATACTTGGATCCTAGACTAGTGAATAATCATGGAGACTAGACGATAATATGGTTGGGGCCATGGGTGTGGATCTAGGTAGGTCCAAGACTAAGAGGAGGAATCACTACAACAAAAATGGCCTTTAACGGTATTTAAAAGTGTTAGTATAGATAATCTAACCTAACACTTTATCTATCCTCACACCTAGGGCGAGTGTCGTCCCTTCCAATGTGGGGATAGACTCGTACTATTCAACATGTCAGGAAAACTATGCTGTTATAACATCCCATTTGCCAACAAAAGTCCATTTTCTTGATAATTGAAAATGTCAGGATAGGTATAGTACAACATTAGAATATCGAATTCTATGCTGACACTTTTAATTGTCAGGAGTTTTTTTTTTTTGAGATAGAAGCAACCTGCAGGTAATGCTCCCTGCTATACATTCCGTCGATCAGAAACCCAAAGGACTTTTAAAATTATCCCAAAGAACAGAATGCATATAAGATAATATGCTATGATGCAAAAATCTAGAAACATCAAACTTGAGCAGTACTGTGATTATGAGAACTGAAAATGCCAACTCCCATAAGCAAGAGGAGATTTGTCATCATGTTTCATACATCAAAAGCAGAATGCAAATGAGACTAAATGATATACAAGCCAACACACAGTGGAAAATCTCAGAATAAATGCAAGCGCACTTTGTTTATAGCAATAACAATTCGCACTCCAGCTGCTTTGCCATGAGCAATGGCCTCTTCTGTTTGAGGTCGAATTCCATCATCAGTAGCAACTACAATAACAGCAATGTCTATTACTCTGGCTCCATGAGCTCTCATTGCTCGAAATGCCTATCCAACCATTTTTACAGTTATGTTAGATAATTCATCTTGACAAAGGCCTTTGAAGATATGTCTGCAAAATCTCCAAGAAGAGCATTTGACATAAAAATTTTAAAAAAAGAAAAAAAAACTTGCATGAATAAGCAGTTAAAAGTTAGAACCAGTGCTACATCATTAATTACCTCATGTCCAGGGGTGTCAAGGAAAACACAAGTCTGTGGCTTGCCATCAAAAGGTACTTGTACCTTGTATGCCCCCATGCCTTGAGTAATTCCACCTGCTTCAGATGTTGCCACCTACAGTAGGTTGTCTGAGATTTAGTTCCTAGCTATTCAAGCATCATAACATAAGACAGAATAAGGTACTTCTTCTAAAGTCATCAAATCATAATGGCATTACAAATAATGTACCTCAATGTGAACATCAATAAAAATAATCAATTCATACCTTGCTTTTCCTGATGTAATCCAAAAGTGTGGTCTGCCAACCCAAAAGAAAATCAGTAATATATTAGCTAAAGATTGTTATGGGATAATAAATCTAGAATGACTCTCCTAAAGATCAATTAACTGTAAGCACACAAAATGTTCATAGGCAACAATCAAATAACAAAGAAAGGTAAAATTATTTCATGGGATGAGATCATAATGACTTCAAAAAAGATCCATTTGCTATGGAAGACTAATCCAGCTGTAAGAAAAATAAGCGCATGCATCAAGGAGTACAACATTAATATTGATGATAACGTATCATTTATAAGCAAAATACTGAAAATGAAACTTGGAATGACTATATCTAGACATCGCTAGACAAATCCCAATTCTCTTGATAAGGGAAGACAAGCTAATAATGTACAGCTAGATTAGTAATAATTTAATAGAGAGCCAAAACTTAAGATGGGCACCTGAACTATGTCGTAGATTGGCATGATGCCAGTCTAAAACTGAGTTGATCTCAACTCTTTCAAACAGGTCTGCTGGGTACCTTTTTGGTATGAAAAAGCACAAGTGATCAAAAGAGGTACGATCGAGTATCAGTTGTTGATTTGATACCTTAGAAGCCAATAGGCATCATAGTAAGACTTACATTTAGCAAGTGGCTATGCAACCATTTTCTGGTCCTCATGTGTTGCAGCCTGATGACGGTACCACCTTTGATTGTATCCCCTTGTTGGGCGTTGGTATCTAGTACGGGTCTAACAATCTGCAAGCCAAGTTTAATCATACCTAAACTTAGAAAATTATGATGATCTAGAAAAAAAAGATACTAGAAAAAGAAACATACCTAATAGCTGTTTGAGTCATCAATGTTGGGAAAACCAGTGACGGATTGCTGCCCACTACCAGAGCCATATGGTACATCATGCGAATGCAGCCTAAACTTTGTTCTCTTATGCATCAACTTGATCACTGACCCATAAGTAATCTACCAAAATCACAGATGCCGAACAAAATAAGAATGACTTGGCACAAAGCCCCATTATACAACTATTAGAACTCAAAGCATCATACACCATTTTTTATTTTCGCCACACAACAGAAACCTCAAACTATAAAATAGGAAAAAAAATCAAATTTAATTCATAAATCAGCTCTTTAAAAAATCCAAATAGCAATTTTTAACTGACACCCAGCTAGATTTTCAACAAAGATTATCGAGGCATTTCATCAAATATGTCGAAAGCTATTACTAATTCTACACAAACAACTCCATTTCCTCTTTCCCTCTCCTCTTTTAGCTTATAAACCTCTGAAGGGCTATAATTTATAACCATCACATGCCTATAATAGCACAAACTTGGTCAAAATTTTGAACCAAAAATAACTATAAAACAACTTTCCGCGTACAATTTCAACAAATAGGGGGAAAAACACACACACACACACACAAAGATGCACCGCATATCTGTGCAACTACAGGAACGCAAAAACCATGAATTTGAAGTAGTAAGTGGGCTTTTGGCTTGCCTGGACGCCTTCGGAAGCGGTAGAGATGGGGGAAGAGGTGAAATCGGAGTCAAGGGTAAGAAAAAGGAAAATGGCGAGACCGAAAAACGAGATTGCCATTAGTAAAAGTAAGCCAATGAACCAGGTAGTTTGCCAAAAGGACAAATTGAGATTGGACTTGGAAGACAATTCTCGATAAACTATTCGAGTCGGGGGAGAAATTTGTTGAGCCGAATTCGAAGAAGAAGATGATGATGACCCGGAAGTGGGTTTCCTAAGAGA